CCTGCCTGCATTATATTCTCTCTGCTTCAGATTTCGACTTTTTCTCCTCTTTTTCTTTACAAATCAATCCCAGAGAGTGTATAGGTAGAGAGGATGTATCATTCAAACCATCAAAATGTCACATTGCCTCTTCAATTTGTGTTCTATATCCTTGTGCCACATCAGTGCCACTCAGACTCTGCCTTCCTATTATTGTTGAATTTATCCTTGTTGGTAGCTTATATATCATCATGTCTTTCCATACTGTCAATCTCAATACCTAATTTTGTCAGGAAGTGATGCTTGGACATGTGAGCAGAAGTGTGGCCCAAATTGCTGGCTGGCCAGCAAAAATTGTGACATTGTGACACTTGTGACTGGTAGCACTCTCATGTAAGAGATCTCTATTGAGGTGAAACAGGGTAATATAGATTCATGGACATGGTAGTAGCTGTATAGATAGTCCTACAAGTTAATGATATAGAGTGTTTACTCATACTGATATGAGTGCTCTCAGAGCTCTCAGAGCGTGGGTTCTGCTATCAAATCAGGGGTGGGAACACACACCGGCTATATAGCAGATACCGGATTTCCTGATGAACATAACCTAGCCTAGGCTAGGGTAGGGGAAGATCAATGTCACGAACATAACCTAGCCTGATTCAAGCATAGATGCATGATAGAATAAACACAAATCACTCATACTTCATTATCTAAAAGAAATAAAGAGCAGATATTATTCTGATTGGTTCGAAAATATTATTTAACTGATGTAAATATTAATTATAGTTAGTTAGTTCACCCCTCGCGACTTCCGGTCATATTTTCCGGAACTCAGCTCCCCTTGAATAATACATGTTCTGGGTATTGGACCTGGAGTACTGATGGTAGTTTTTGTTCCTTCTAAAGAGTTAGCTGGACGACTATCTGTCACAGTTTAGGACTGTTTTGTGAAGCACAGGCACATAAATGCATGGAGTAGATGACTTTCCGTGGGGGGTTTGCGTGAATCCTAGAGGGATACTGAGGCATAGAAAGCTCAAGTTGATTCGTGTTTGTGTTCAATCTGTACATCAGGAAACACTCCTAGATTGCTACGGAAAGTCACCCAGTCTTGTCCAATCCGAAAGAAATGACCCAAGGCTCTGTTCGGTAAAGTGTCGGATGGTTTCTGTAACACAC